AGATAGTGCCGACAACGAAATCGCCTTCACTGATTACACTTTCTCATTTCTCTTCAAACATTTTGATCACTTCTGAGCAATCGTTAGACCCTTGTCTCCCCTCCATCATGTTGTTTGCACTTCTATGCCTTTCAATCTTTACCACATGTTTTTTTCTGCGAAATCGCTGCTAACACTGCTTCTCCACCTTCACAGTTCTACATCTCTTCACTAATACCTCTTTTATTCTAGCATTCTGCGCAGCCTACCACTAACATCTACCAAGTCTCTGACAAGTTCCCAGCTCTCTTGCTTCCGTTGATTTGAACTAAGTAGGTGTTTGCTTCACTCATCACTGCCATCTCTGTATTTAGGCAGTGAGCTTGAACGTAGGCTTCCATTCTCGAAGCTTTCATTGAGAGGCATCGGACATAAGGCTGGTTTACCACTCACATTCAGGTATCTTAACTTTGTCTATAAACTATCTTTATCATTCCTTGCGATTATGACCAGTTATTAAATGTCGGGAGACCTCAAAATATGTCCCATTAGCAGTTGGATAGGTTTTAAAACATCTAATTCACTCATCGATGACTCTAGCAAGTGTATGCATACTCTGATAAAGTGGAATTTTTGGTTCTAACTTACGAAATCCAGGATATCCCGGTTCTCACACATACTGAAAGCACGGATAGGAGCCATGAGGCTTGTCTATACGTTTTCCACCTTAATGAGAAATGTGGGGGATAAGTTTGGAAAAGCCCGGTGCTAGGCTAATGGAGACCACTACCTTACTACATAGCGGAGCCAGTAATTAACATTAGTTGGCCGTATTTGAAAGGGTTGCACTTGAGTAAGTGTTTTATTGATGAGGGATAGTGTGCCCTACAAATCACCTTGCAATACCAAACACAAATGCGACGCGCTACAGATACAGTGTATATTAACTCCGCCTGCAGCACTGACAAGGCATTGTTGAAGTGGTGGTTTAAAGGAGTTACTCCTGCTACTAAGATCCTTGCCCAAGAAATGGCAATATTCAACAACACAGAAGAGGACATCGTGGCACCGTATGTTCATGGATGTGGCAATGCGATGATGTTCAAGAAGCACCCAATAGTTTGATCAACTTGCCTTCTGCGAGCGACATCCCTACCTTCACTCACCTCCACCCATCGCCGACAGGATAGCATCCGAGGCACGCCATTTTCGTGTCAATCTGGCAGTGACCTCATCCTCCTACTCCTTTACTGAATGGTTTGTCTTTGGCTTGCAGCACCCCAAGGAAGGTTGTGTAGTTGGTGGAGTCGACAGTCAACTACCTTCTCTAAGGATGAACTTCATTTCGCTTTCCCTACCCTTCACAAATTTCCATTCATACCTCGCCTCCCTCTTCTTCATTTCCTCCCTTTTTGCTTTCCTTTCCCTTCTTTTCATTACACGTCTTATTTCTCGCCTTGTCTGGGCCTATTAAAACTTGGTGCTAACATGAGCACTTCAGTTGTTGACATTAAAGGAAAAATGTGATGGTGTTGTGCTTATGAGTATCAATGAATTTATTAAGTACTAATAAATGTTTAAAGTTCTACTTTTGCCAACCCAGTGCTACCTAATTAGGCAAACATTCAACAGAACTGTGGCGCTATGCTATTTTGACAACAAAATTATTCCTTCCAAAGGAAGGTTGATATTGTCCATTTTACACATGAAACACATTTCATGTTCTGGTTTTAGTCCAAACTGCCTCTCAAAACCACTTTGTAAATGTTTTAGTCTGAGCATTGGAAACGCGCTTTTTGACATGGTATATATGCCCGACACCTGGTAGGGAGGCTTCATATCATTTAAATGCCAGATAAAAATTTTCCCACTTAATTATGGTCGTATGAATTGCAGTGACACTTTGAAAATCGAGAAGATATGGAGCATCCGGTAACGCTGTGGCTGTGTCGCTGCATCGGGGCGTCATATTTCAACTTGATTCAGTCTAGAACAATCCTTGTCAGCTGTCGAAATCCGCCCACGATGCTGTAAATTAAAACCAACGCTGCATTCCGCCATCATTCACTCACAGGTAATGTCCAATCTAGAGGCGGCTTGGTAATCGGTTACTACAGTCACATTTGCCTTTACCATTCCGCTTCACTCAGTTTTAATTGGCAATGCATTTTGATTTCATTTCTTATAATGGTACAGTATTTCTGCTTGTGCAACTACCATTGATCCTTGAAGGCCAGCTCATAATATCTTTCACTGTGAGGAGCAAAACACCCATCAAATTGGCCGACACATTGCAAGCAAAATGTAATTTCTTATTCCAGAACATGACCACAACAGCCGCACATGTCTCCTAGCACACATTTGGCTCTAAACCCAGCAGAGATGATATGAAATATTTTAAGGTGCTTGGAATGGGATTAAGGGAGCTGCAAGCAACCACGTAAGCTAGCCCCTACTTGATTAAGATTTACCGACAACTTGTGAATTCATTCCTTTCAGTATAAAACGATGTCCCGCTTTCCCCTTTAGAGATGAGAGTCAAATGCGTGCCTTTCAAATTTAATAAAAGAAGACATGGAAAACAATTAAACTAACGTTTTCATTACACCTCTCGGAAATGTGGTTTTTCCTATCCGAGCCAGTTCAATGGCTAACCTATTGCCCAATTATCATGCTGACTTTCCACACCTCTACTTCGCGCCATGGGCAAGTGGTTGCGCCAATGAACATTTACGTCTCTTGCAAATGTAAATGAAAGGTAATAGCAACAAACCAGAAGAATGATCACGAGCCGATCGACTATTAGACAATCAGACAGACAACCGTATCCAAGGTCGGTTTACAATGCACGCACGTCTACATCTCTATACATTGGCAAAAGCCGGGCGCGTTTCGAATAGATGGCCTCTCGACTATGGCTTATTGTCTACCTTATGCATTCAATTCAACTCCAGAGGTCCTTTCAAACATTACGCCGCAAGGTTGGTTAGGGAAATAAAACAGTGGCCACATCGGGAGCAATCTTACTATTTCTCCTCACTTGTTCACACATCATAATGTGGTGACTTGAGAGGTAATCCTATTTCAGCGAGCGTACAATTGAATCTGTGTGGATTGAAGCACAATGTTCTACTGCCAAGCAATAGTGGTCGAAATATCCATGTCATATATAGCCATGGAATATCAAGAATGCACGCCATTTGGGCATTTTTAGCCCTATCAACCTCATTGTTGATAAGTTAAAAGGAACGGTGATGTTACACCAGATGAGTATGGCGGAGGACAAACCATTTGACTCCCATGTGCCACGTAGAATCTGGGACGAGGAGGAAGAACACGTGGCCTGTCAGTAAACGGAGCTTGTGTACAGGCATACTGGTAGTTGACTTATCATCAAATGTTGGTTAGGATAGCACAGGCTGCTGCTCCTGTTTGCAACTGATGCTGACCTACGTTTGAAAGTCTCAAAATCTTTTTTCCAGGAGGCTCATGGTGATCACCATTACCTTACAAATTGTCTTAATGCAGTTTATTTCTATAAGTTATGTAGAAGCGGTAAGGGAGGGTACAGTGATCATTAACATTTGATAAAAACGGGGCAATAGTAATGACAAATGACGGCAAACAAGAGAGACTGGTTGTTTCGGCTGGTATGGCCAATTTTTTCTAAGGCTATGGTAGTGAACATGCTCTGCACAAAGTAAGCTGACTAATAATTTGCTACAATACTAAGTTCTCGATTTC